GATACCCGAACTGACATCCCAAACTTTCTTTCCTTCACCAAGAACGCTCCAAAATCTCCAGCAAGACAACAAACAAGGTATTTATCACCACATGCAACTTAAGTAAACTCTCTTTCTCACAAATAGGGGAAAAACGTAATATCACATATAGCCAATATTTATTAAATCATAGAAATTATCAAAAAACTAGTCTATTTAAAATCAAAATGTATGGCCTCTTGTTACCCATTAAACAGTTGTTAAGTTAACCTGTGCTGTCTCTCCCTTCTATCTCGACTCTGATCGCTCCGTTACGCAACCGCTCGCGTGACCTAAATAACGTGGCTTCCGTGTCTGCCGAGACGCAGTGGTGTCATCCTGACAGGGCACCAAAGAGGTGCCGACCCTTCGGTCACACTATTCTACATGCTTCACATGTAGTCATGCACTTTGGTGCTCGCTATTGCTCACACCTCAGCACCCAGGTGGGTCGAGCCCCCACAGTCACATGAACTAAATAGTTAAATGCGATAATCTTAGTGTACAACGGTATTGCACATTGGATTAAAGTTACAACAGAAAAGAACCAAAATAATTTATATTCTTACTTCTATGAAAATCTATCAAACAGCTCTGTTTCATAATGAAGACATGGCTAAAGCACAAATGCACATCTTCTTTGTGGCCTGGTGCATGCTCCTTTCTTGCAAACTTTCAAATATGCACGAGCATTGTCAATCACCACCTGAAAAATCAAACTTTTTGGACTAGACAGGCATCAAACGGACCGTCTACTTTCCATCGAAGGATAAAACATAGTGACATTGAGTCGATAGCCATCAAGCATGTGATGACCAACCAAATTTGCTTCAATATTGCCCATTTTGCAGCATCCTTAACAGAATACACAGCATGACTTTGATCATGCTCTGGTAATAGTAAGTGCAATGGAATTTCTTGTGTTTTAAGAGCTTTAGCCATCTCTAGTAAAGTGAAACATGATTGATTTTTAGAACTTTTTTCAGAAAGTTTTAGGTTTTTTTCATTTTAAAACTTTACTCCATTTTTCAGCCCCTGAAATCATCCTATCTGAAATTTTGAATACTCTAAAATTCCAGATTTCACAGGATTTCAGGGGAGCTATATCTCACTAAGGATCACGCTAGACCAGTGATGGGCAAACTTTTTAAAGAGCGAGCCAAAGGAAAAGAAGAAAACTTTAGCCAGGCCAATATAATGGTAACCTAGCGCTGCATCTGAAAATCCAGGTGGCGCTATAAAAACATGTGCAGGCCGTCTGCCATATTTCTTTTTCTCTCTTTCGGCTACGCTACGCACGACGAGTGGATGTTCTGTACCGAAGCATACTTGTAACCGATCGAGCTTTTACTCAATAAGTGTAAAACAAAATTTTGTACATGATTGTAAATAAACTTTCATGGTGAGATATAAAGCTTCGGTTATTTTATATAATCAACGAACACTCAAGTTAAGTGGTGCATCAACCACCACAGCCTGTATTCTTTTTTACTCGTCAGATTAGGAATAATGTCGCGCGGGCCGGATAGAACATTTCAGGGGGCCGCATCTGGCCCGCGGGCCGTAGTTTGCCCATCACTGCGCTAGACCATCAGTTCCTTTGACTTTTTTACTTCTACAGGCACAATCTACAGCTCTAATAAGATTGCAACTGTCTCATTCCAAGCTACATTTGTACCCAATTTTTAACTATTTTAATAAACATATCCTCCTTTTAGCATTGGCAGAAATTCGGTTTTATTGGATACTCGTTGTCTTATTTACTTATCTCACTTTATATCATCAGTTAGTCGTTATCAATTTAGACGAGTCTCAAAATGATTACAATAAACAGACCACAGATCCTTTATGTTACCTATTATTAACTTATTAGTGTGTATGCTTTCTTTTTATAGACAAATTTTTGGAAAATAGTGTGGTAAAAGTGTCTTGTATGGCGAGGGATCAATATATTATTATTTAGAATTTGTTCACACAAATATAGTTTGAATAATTTGTATACAAATACATCTACACGTGATTCTATTAAACGTAACTTCTACCATTAAATCTTAAATGTAACTATTGGTGATAAAATAAAAACTGCATCAACTTTTATTATTTATATTTTACCTGTAAAAGCATACTCTTGTTAATGAGATAGGTGTTCCATTTGAATATTTCCACAATTTACAAACTTTATTAAAACGTCCAAAGCATTGTTTCAGTGCCATTTTAACTTTGCGAATAAACTGAACCCACGTGATTGACTTCGCCGGTATCAGTGTTGCCAGCTACTTTCAAAAAAACAGCCGGCAACATCACTCATTTTAACGTTTTTTTTTTATTTTTCATGTGAAAAAATCTTTGTTTGAAACGCTTTGCATTTATAAAAATAAAAATTATGAAATAGCCTTCTTCTAGATACTGTCAGGCCTTCCCATCAATAGCCAGCTGCTCCTGGCCGAAACTGTGATGGGGAATTTTTTTTTAACTCTTTCCGTCCTGTGGGCACTAAAAGGCCTCTTTTAGCAAGCCCATTATGGATTCGGCCGGGCCTACAATGGGGTGAGGGACGAGACCACCCCCGAAAAACTCCTGGGGATTTTTTGGCCCAACCAGAATCGATCCTGGGTCCCCCAGAGCGGCAGGCTGCCATCTTAACCTCTGTGATGGGGCTAAAAAAAAAAGGGGACACTCTTGTGGCTTTCCACATTATCAGAAAGCGGAAACTGAAAAGCAACAAGTTTCCGTTTTCCTTCATTTTCTGTTTAGTTCTATTTTCAAAATACCAGAATATCGCGAGCAGGATTAAATTGACTGTAGAACGTAGTATCCAAACAATATAAAGATGTTAATTAATTTTATTATAAAGGAAAAAATACTTCCTGATCTCTTCTAAAGACAATTCTAACTCTTCGCTTCTTCTCGCTCTTTTCTGGAATTGTCTGTCATTGAACTCTAATCTTCGATTCAATTCATAAAACGTCATTACTACTACGTCATAGCTCGTGTTTTTTTTTCTGTTGGTCAAAACACCACGAAAGATCCAACGAAAACAAAAAGTTGAAGTATTTTCTATTCTAGGTTTCCGATCGGAATTTGATGAGCGGAAACTTCTGGACAGAAAATACACCAGAAACTACTGTATTCGTATCTAATTGGTTTCCGAAATGTATATGAAAATTAAAATGTACGAAAGTAGATTTTAAAAAAATCAAAAAGGGTTTTCAAAAAATTTATTTTTTTATCGATTACTACTGTTTATAAATTTTCAAGAGATAATTGAATTATACTCTTCTTTTTCTTTTCTTGATAAAGAGTTTTGTAATATGCTGTGTCTTTTTCTATTGCCTTTCGTACGAGATATACGCTCTCCATTGGGTTTGCATTCTTCCATAATGATCAAAAATTTGTCAAGATATACGAAGTCTTCGTTCATGTTCTTGAATTGTCAAAGTCTTAAATGGTAAATTTAAGACTTTGACAATCAATATTCTCACTACAATATTGCCTAACAAAAGGCACAAAATGATGAGAGAACCAATCTTGAAAAAGCTGTGTAGTAGTCCAGGCTTTAGTATTTGATTTCCAAATGACTGGAAGCATTCTATCTTTTCCTTTCAACACTCTGGGATTTTCTGTTTGATAAATTAGCATTGGCTTCAATTTAAAATCACTAGCTAAATTATTTCCAAGGAGCAATGCTAATCTGTTTTTAGGTTTATGCCCAGGGCAACTGATTCTTCCTTTGCTAAGTACTGTACGTGTGCGCAGGAATCTTTTTCCAAAAATAATCCAGTCTTGTCTACATTGAAGATTTGGCAAGAATAAGTTCCATCTTCAATGATATCAGGGAAATTGGAAATAAATTCGCTGGTAGCTTTCTTATCTGCACTGGCAACTTTTCCAGTAAATTTATTAAAGACCGTATTTTAAATTTGTCAAACCAGCCTTTGCTTGCTACAAATTCCGTAGCAGTGTATTTAGATGACATTTTATATTAAAAAAAAAAAAAAGGAAAGGTTTCAACATGCCACACCATATTGAATTGTGTTAAATTATTTAGTATTACTGCATCTACTGTCCAAAAAAAAAAAAAAGTTGCCTGGTTGTCCTGAAATTCAACAAATCCTAGAGCAGGAGTGAGCAAATTATGGCCTGCAGGCAAGTTCACAAATTTTGTAATTTTATTAACAAGTACAAGCTTTGGAACATTTGAAAAAACGAGCACTCACATATATATTTGCAAACCTAGGTTTGGGCTGTAATTGTAAATACTATCAGTTAATCGGAGTTCAATTGGCCAATAGCATAATCCCTTTTTCTCTCATGCTCACTAGACTTTATCCATATGGCCCAAGTGGAAAAAAGTTTGCCCATCCCCATTCTAGAATATGGCAAGGAAAATGATGAACGTCAAACATCTGGTAGAGCTCATTGATATATTAAAAGTTGGCTTTGTGACAAAGCTTTCATGTGTAGTTTTCTATTTCATTAGTTAATATTTACTTTGCAATTAGTGTTAATTTTTATGTTACTAATCATTTTGTTTATGTACAACTTTCTATTAAGTGTAATGTAAAAAAATATTAATTATATCCAATAATCAAGTACAGTAATATTAATGTTCAATATTTATTGAATGAATGAATTTTCCGTAGACTACAGCACACAATCATTTTAATCATCAATCACAACTGTCATGATTTTGATTATTATATGTGCATCTGATTTACAATAAAATCAGCTGGAAAAAATGGGATGTGAAGTTCCAGTCAAAGCTCCAGTGCAGAAAATCTAAAACTAGATTTGAGTTTTATGGTAGGACAATTTTTATTAACTAGAAAATTTAAATGTTTTTGGACTATAAAGAAACATCAAAATTGGAAACATTAAAACATTTTAAGAAAATGGTATATTTGTTTTTTAAAAAACCTATTTACTAGCATTAAAGTTGAACATAATGTATGTATAAGCTTATTAAATATATATAAACAAAGAACAGTTTTACCAGTTTATTTGTAACAAGATAATGAAAACTTATACAAGCAGAGAAGAGCTTGTCTATCAAAAATTAGGTCTATATCTCAGATGATAGTGTCTACAGGACTGAAATGCAGTTGAAGTGGATCACAAATCTTTTATTAAATATTAACTTTATCATCATAATGGCTAAAAGTAAGATTTTACATTTTGAAATATTTTTCTGTATATAAAATCAAAATTTTTAAAAGACAGTTTAACAATGAAAAGCTCAGATTTTCAATATTGATCTTATGATTAGTATGAATACAAAATTAACTATTCATAAATAATATAGTTTGCATTTGACACTTTAAAATCATTATTTTAATGCAACAAAATTATAAAGGAATGTTAATTGCCTCATGCTATTTTTTTTAATATGATTTTTAAAATAAATCTCATTCTCAACATATTAATCATACCATATTATTTGGTAAACATTTGGGAATCACCTGTACAAGGCAAAAATTAATTGACAAATTTTATTTTTCAAATCAGACATACACATATATTGCATTTATGTACTGTACATCTACAAGATTGTTTAGAAATGATATGCATCATTAAGGCATTACAAAATTGTGAAATGTGTGTGCTTTAATTTAATAAACAAATTTATAAAAACAACAATGTAATGTATTACCTGAAATCTGATAATCAATTTAGACTTTAAATATATGGATCTGATAAAAGAATTATATTGTAATCATTTATCATATTAAAAAAAAAGACACTTCTTTGTTTGTATTTTTTATTATTTCACAATCATATGAATTAGTAGAAAAATGATCTTTTAATTTTTAAGAAATGTACTGGAAGCATATTAACTTCCAATTAGATTTGTTGCACAGATTCATTGCACTTTATTTAGGAAGAAGTCCGGAAGTATCATTCAGTTTGGCTTTTAACATTGAGTAAATGTCACATGGCAAACCATTTCACACTTTGACAAACCAGAAGCTTAGCACCACCACAATTGTGCATTAAGAGCAACATGTGATTGCTTTGTAGTAAGATCATAAATGCCAAATTAGCCATTCGGAAAGCATAAGGCACAAAACATGATTTGAGCTACCACATCATTCATTGCATATTCATTTCCTGTAAATGGAAAATATCTAGCTCAGTAAGGAAAGAAAAATAAATTTACATAATACTGCCATTATTCTGGCTTTTTTAATCTAACAGATTCAATGTTTAGAAAGTAGATAAGAGAGTCCATGCCGTAAACCGCCCTCAATCATTCCATTCTTTTTTTATTTCAAAACTCCACTCCCATTTCAAATGTTCACTTTTGTCGTCGTCCGTGAAGAGTGATTTCACTGTGTAATTTCCTCTTGCTAGCATCCCAGATGGCATATCTTCCAATGGAGTGGTATAAGACTGTATTTCTTTCTTGGGAGCATAGCTTCCAACCATATTAGAAATGCTGTCACCTGAATGAATTGGCAATGTAAGCTTAAAGAATAAATATATAAAATATAAAATCCAGCAACCAGTTGAATAACTTTCCCGGCAATAAAGTTAAAATTGTATGTGCTGACATCTGTTATAAAAATGAAGAGAATAGAGTTGTAAAAGTGACGTTTATATATCCAGGACCCATATTTAGTCAAATATATAAAATTTTAAATGAAGTTTACTACTCACATTGGATTCCATGTCTAAAAATTTTCTGCACATACTTGAGGCCTGTTACAATCTCTCTTTGGACATAAAAGTCTATTCGTATACGATACTGGATACCCTCTTTAATGACAAAGGTTTTCTTCTTCAATGTTTCTAAATCACCTAAAAAATGAATGTTAACAATTATTATTTAAATAATGTTTGATACTTTTAACGCACTATTATATTTTATTCAATATTGATGGAATTTTCTTGAATGTAACAGAAAAAAAAAATACAGTAGAGCATCGATTATCTGACCCCCGATTAACCATCACATCAGTTAACCGACCATTCTAGTTGGCAAATTTCAAATGTCTGCTAGTGATGTGGCACTACAATATTTTGCTATGTCTTAGCTACTTTAATATTATTTTTGTTAAATTTTTGCGTGTTTTAGCTGGCAACACTGGATCGACCATGAAACGGAGGCCAGTATTTAAACAAGACTTAATTTTCTAAACATCGATGAAAATTCAACGCAAAGTTGGTTAATTTAATAGCAATATACTAATTACATGGAATNTAAATATATTAAGAAAAATATCAAAATTTCAACATCTCTCCAGTAACTTCATTATACAAAATATACAGATTAGACATAAAATTAGATCTGAGACATAACATTTAAAAATTGAAACTTTGCACAAATTACTTGGATTGGGAATTAGTTTTACAATATTAGACATTATCTGAAGATTTCATATATTATTTTTAGAATAGACTTTTGTGATGTCATATTATAAAATATCAAAAACTAAATCATGGATTTGTGGATGATCAATCACAAACTATTACTGTGTGTACAGGAAATCCTTGTTAGTTCAAAATTCAGGGGACAAAAAAATTGCAATTTTGGATTATCAAGATTACACATTTCCATACAAAATGTCAAATGCCATGTAACTGATGTAATTATTAAGCAAATGGAATATGGCTACATTACGGAATGCTACATTCATCAATTAATAATTAATAACAGTAATATAAATAAACTGCAGGTAATCAGCACATGTCCAGTCCTCACAGGTTGCCAGATAGTTTTTATAAAAAGTAAAGCGGAATTTCTCAAAACATAGCCCAAGTTATTTTTAAAGTGGCTCAGAAAATAGTAAGTCATCCAAATCTAGTAGCCTAAAGTAGGCTACTAGATTTGGGGTGACTTACTATTTTAGGATGTAGGGCTAGATGAGGTTTTTGAAGGGCTTTACCCTACAAAAACCTCAATCTGCTACTCATAGCCCAATCTTGCAATTCCAAAACCCAACTGTATTTTATGAGANGTGTTATTGGCGTACCGGAATGAATGCCAATTGGAAACTGTTGTATTTTTAACTTTACTGTAGTTTTGTGTGCATTTGTCATGTAGTCATTGTCTGTATGCTGTAATGTCCATTTAAAGTTTTGTGATAATGTAGTAAGTATGAATGATGAATTTATTTATTTTTTGTGTTCAGTTCCTCCATTGATATGGTTTTCCAGTCTAGATGGTTGGTGACTATATTGCACTGAAGCACTTTGGCTAGATTGGTGTGTGTTATCCATTGTATGCATGTGAGGTTGTGGTTGTGATGCAGTAGCCATACTTAGGCCAGTATTGCATTTACCACCAGTAGCCAATGGAGAGTGCAGATATTTTTCTAACAAATTTTTGCCTAACCCGTGAATGTGAAATACTTTACCCAAACAATACCTGAGCCAGTATTATGCTGAGAACATGTCAAAACCATTTTTCTTTCTCCACACTAGTGGATGTGCTGATATAACTAAATTCATGTATACATCTGCTACTCCTAACAGATAGAATAGACAGTATTTAATAGCTATCCATTCTAAATCAGACACTGCTTGAGCGTCATTCTGCTTCATTTCGCTCAATAGACCTTACTGACAAGATGGCCCTTCTAGCAGCTTATGCTGTCACCAACACTGCTCTATGATTCATTGGGACTACTGAACACTCACCTTGAAAGATAGTGACTAGCAAGATAATAATGATAATATTAACTATTACACAAAAATAATTTAAAATTTAAATACCTGGAAAATTAGCTTCTTGGAATGAAGTGATTGGTTTAGGAATGTTTTTTCCTTCCAAAGTCATATTCATTTCTTTTCGATACTGCTGTATTTCTTCCTATGTATATATGAAAGAGGATAAAAACTCATAAAACGAATATTTTCAAGTTTTTATTATAAAAATTAAATATAAACATTAACTTATTCTAAGTAGTAAGAAAAAAAATCAGAATAAATAGAATAATACTATATTTCAATCTAACATTTTGAAAATATAAAAGTACTCCGTACATAATTAACTTCTGTACATGACAACCACATGGCTGAGACAGTTAAAGCATCAACTTATTACTCTAGGAAACCCAGGATCAAATCTGAGCAAAAGTGAAATTCGAAGTTCATATAATTTCATAAAAGAAGTTAATCCTTTAAATTTATAATAAATTCCGTTAAAGGAATTTGGACCTACAAAAATGAAATATAAAGTGCATGAGAAATTTATAACTCCTTCTATTTACCTATAAACATTCTCACGATCAAGTCATGTATAGTTTGCAATTACCAGTACAATTCGTCATAATGTTGTCATTCTAACACCAACTTTAAACCCACACCTGCTAAAACAATTGGTCACCTGATGAATTTTCCCACCACAAAACGTATAAAAGCCCTCCTCCTTCCCCTCTCGGGGGAGTCGCCAATTGAACGACCAATACGGACATTAACTTCCCTTAGACCTACTGTACGACATTAATTGGAAGACCTTGTGCCCCACCTCGCACCGCCATTCAGAAATTAAAGCCGGAGTATCCATCTGATATTATCTCAGAGGTATGAAATATTATTGTGAACTCTCTCTCATCCGCGAAGTCGAAGGAGTTTTGTAAATTTTTATTTAGTTAGCGCTTTAAATAAACTGTTGTTTTGTTTTAAATGGTGTCGTTACTCAACTTAGCCCACGTCTTATCGTCGACCCCTCCAACTCTCCTCCACTTGCGTAATGCGTAACCGTACGCTAACAGCATCCTTGACAAGAAATTAGGTCACCAACCTGTGGCTGGAAGGAGAGCACTTCCCAACCTCCCCGACGGCTCACACAAGCAACCACATGTGCATTTTGGCCAAACCCACAATGGGAAAGATTTAAATAGTCTCTTAGTGCCCACAGAGAAGAGGAAAAAATTTGTATAAATAAAATTCATTGAAAAATTTGCAATATTTTAAGCAATTAACATTTAATAATTATCATAAATCACATTTGCTATGTTATATGATATGGTCATAACTTTATCTGTATCACAGATTATCCAGAAGTAATTTGTATCATAATACAATTGACAAAGTAATTACATGTCCATCAATTGGGATAAGTTGTCTACTGTAGCAATTGATAAAAATACCAATTTACAGTGGAACCCCGGTTAACAAACGTAATCCGTTCCACGAGTCCGTTCGTTAACCGAATTGTTTGTTAACCAAAGCAATTTTTTCCATAGAAATTAATTCAAATACAATTAATCCGTTCTAGCCGTCAGTATTTTTTGTAATTTTATTTGTAAAATGAGTTTTCTTTAATGAAAATATAGGAAAACGTGCTCACAAACAGTCGATCAAGGTTAAATTTTCGGAAAAGGGAAAAGATTTGACGGGTATAAAACCATCACATACGATCGTCAAAGTTCTAAAATGACAGATAGCAGAAACAATAGGCTAAATTATGAGCAAAAGGCTTATAGGTTTATCAACAATCTCTTATCAGAGTCGACGAACAGGTGTCAAATAAACGCTTCAGAACAAACCTTTCTCGTGACCTGATCTGGTTTCGGTTTTCACCTGGAGACAAAGAAGAAAACAATCGGGAAGTGAGGAATGGGACACAAGACTAATCGTAAGGTGAGATTCAAGGAAGAAATACTATAAAAACCCCGAATCTCAAGGTCAAAACCCAGTTTTCCTAAAAATTCTATGGCGATTAATCTGTGTCGTCTTCATCTGGATCAAGCCTGAAGTCGTGCCCGCTAAAATTTGTGTTGTGTCTCACGGACCGCTCCAGTAGTTGCAGCTCTGTCACCTACCATCGCTTCTGTGACCAAGCGAACCCATCTCGTCTGCTCTGGGGCTACGACTGATCAGCTTGCACTATCGTAGGACCAGCGATACGCCACTCCTCAGTGCCGAGAGAAAATACTGTAGATAAGCCATTTCCAACTATCTCAAATATGTAAGCATCTTCCCGTNATATTAATCATACCATATTATTTGGTAAACATTTGGGAATCACCTGTACAAGGCAAAAATTAATTGACAAATTTTATTTTTCAAATCAGACATACACATATATTGCATTTATGTACTGTACATCTACAAGATTGTTTAGAAATGATATGCATCATTAAGGCATTACAAAATTGTGAAATGTGTGTGCTTTAATTTAATAAACAAATTTATAAAAACAACAATGTAATGTATTACCTGAAATCTGATAATCAATTTAGACTTTAAATATATGGATCTGATAAAAGAATTATATTGTAATCATTTATCATATTAAAAAAAAAGACACTTCTTTGTTTGTATTTTTTATTATTTCACAATCATATGAATTAGTAGAAAAATGATCTTTTAATTTTTAAGAAATGTACTGGAAGCATATTAACTTCCAATTAGATTTGTTGCACAGATTCATTGCACTTTATTTAGGAAGAAGTCCGGAAGTATCATTCAGTTTGGCTTTTAACATTGAGTAAATGTCACATGGCAAACCATTTCACACTTTGACAAACCAGAAGCTTAGCACCACCACAATTGTGCATTAAGAGCAACATGTGATTGCTTTGTAGTAAGATCATAAATGCCAAATTAGCCATTCGGAAAGCATAAGGCACAAAACATGATTTGAGCTACCACATCATTCATTGCATATTCATTTCCTGTAAATGGAAAATATCTAGCTCAGTAAGGAAAGAAAAATAAATTTACATAATACTGCCATTATTCTGGCTTTTTTAATCTAACAGATTCAATGTTTAGAAAGTAGATAAGAGAGTCCATGCCGTAAACCGCCCTCAATCATTCCATTCTTTTTTTATTTCAAAACTCCACTCCCATTTCAAATGTTCACTTTTGTCGTCGTCCGTGAAGAGTGATTTCACTGTGTAATTTCCTCTTGCTAGCATCCCAGATGGCATATCTTCCAATGGAGTGGTATAAGACTGTATTTCTTTCTTGGGAGCATAGCTTCCAACCATATTAGAAATGCTGTCACCTGAATGAATTGGCAATGTAAGCTTAAAGAATAAATATATAAAATTTTAAATGAAGTTTACTACTCACATTGGATTCCATGTCTAAAAATTTTCTGCACATACTTGAGGCCTGTTACAATCTCTCTTTGGACATAAAAGTCTATTCGTATACGATACTGGATACCCTCTTTAATGACAAAGGTTTTCTTCTTCAATGTTTCTAAATCACCTAAAAAATGAATGTTAACAATTATTATTTAAATAATGTTTGATACTTTTAACGCACTATTATATTTTATTCAATATTGATGGAATTTTCTTGAATGTAACAGAAAAAAAAAATACAGTAGAGCATCGATTATCTGACCCCGGATTAACCATCACATCAGTTAACCGACCATTCTAGTTGGCAAATTTCAAATGTCTGCTAGTGATGTGGCACTACAATATTTTGCTATGTCTTAGCTACTTTAATATTATTTTTGTTAAATTTTTGCGTGTTTTAGCTGGCAACACTGGATCGACCATGAAACGGAGGCCAGTATTTAAACAAGACTTAATTTTCTAAACATCGATGAAAATTCAACGCAAAGTTGGTTAATTTAATAGCAATATACTAATTACATGGAATATACTATACTAATAATGTATTTTTTCATTCTTTTCGGTTATCCGACCAACCTGAGTCCCCAACTGAGTCGGATAATCGATGCTTTACTCTATTTAAAAAAAAAAAATTCTAGTGAAATGTAATATGAATTCTTTATAATGATTTGTAAAAAAGTATTGTTGATTTTATAATAAAAAAAAAAATGAAATTAATCTGTTCTATTGTGGAAAATGTTGCTTTGTTTACATTTTATATCACTGAAATATTTATATCACTTAAAATTATTAATTGATCTAAAATTATATTTTGAACATATAGTAACAAACATTAATTATTACACAATTATTATATGCATTTATATAAAAACTCGTTTAAATTGTGTGTGCATGTGCACACATTAGAAAACCTAAATTTTAGAATGTTTAATTTCAAAAAATCTATTTTTATAAAATGCAGCATGAATATGTATTTTCTTTTTCCATTTTTGTCCCATCCTATGGACATTAAGAGAGCCTTTTTAATCATATCCATTGTGGGTTTAGCCAGGTAATGAAGGATAGTGCCTGATAATATCTGGGACAGACTGCCATACTGGTAAACTCCAGAGATTTTCTGCATTCAATCCGAAGTTCCCTAGAGCAGTAGGATGATACCTTAACTATTTTTACCATCCATCATACATACTGTCCAAGGATATATGTTAAGAATCTTCTACTATTCCTGTCAGAGAGTCTCAGTTCTAATATTTCTCCTTTCTTTATTGCCATTCATTCATCATCAAACATTCTATTTTACTATTTATTTTTATATTTATCAATTCATTAATTTTTCATTTGCTTAACATGTTTGCTGCAATTCACTTCATATATCAAAGAGGTATTCATTTTTCATAATTATACATTTAATTCTAATTAAATTTTTATTCTTTAGCCTATTATTACAAATACAGTATAACAAGAATTATCCAAAAAAAACTGATTAATCAAGATTTCAGAGTATACTAATTCCAGAAATTACAAAGTTTTTACATAACAATGACCAGTGATCTGTAGGTGTGTTATTAAGCCATCTCATTATCAACACAATGTTAAATTTTATTTATTATAGTATATATGAAAAAAAACCATAATCAATGAGTCAAATGATTAATGTGTTACTGTGCTTAATTGCAATTGTTAATTAATTATTGATTGCTTTAATAAACAGATTTCTCTTCATAACAAAAAAGAACAGTATACTTTAGCTAACTTCTGGAATGTAACCCTATGTTTTGCATTAGTCCTTTGTTTTGTATAGCACAGATTTGTATAACATGGTACTTTTTTGGAATGTAACTACCATGTTATACTAGGGATACCTGTATAATAATTAGATACAAATTTTAACAACATATTAATTGTTTTGAAAAGAATTTTATTCATCCACACTTATTTTTAACAAAATGAAAACTTATATTTTGTAATTTAATAAAGAAAATAAATAACGGTTCCTCGGTCTTACAATTACTGTAAAATTATCTCCAAGAAGAATACAAAATAAATAATAAAATTAATTTAGCTGTTTTACTTTAGTTTAACTAAATTTGCTAAGAACCTTCTAATGTTTTTCAAATGAAAACAATTTACTTATAACATGCTTATTTAATAGTATAAAAAAAATTGCTTATAACATACCTGACAAATCAAGCTCGATATCCGGCCTGCCTTCGACAATCAAGGCTAACTTTCTCACCAAAACATGCTTGGGTGTACTAGGATCTATTACAAATAAACATTATTATTAGATTTAATAATAAAAAACTCATTTCTTACAAATTTAATTCAATACTTTTTTGCTCGGCAAATAAATTTCTCAAATTAGAATTTTTATATTTGCATTATTATTAAATTCCATATAAATAATACAAAGTAAAAACTTTTATTACATTTTCTAAAATTGAAATGTTATATTTAAAAGTTATTTAAATAAATTCGGAATCACAAATTTTACATTATAGATAAAACTCTGATCAATTAGAATCATATGCCATGTAAATTAGTTAAATTTCTTAATATATATTTTTAATTTTACAATTTTCATTACAGACTTCCTTCTAAATCAATTAGTAATGATTCAGAAACTTTTTTTTGAACTAGTTGCTTTTTATGAATAAGAAAAAATTCAATGAATTTATGAAATTTTGAATTGTATACTTAAATATTTTGATTTTGACAAAATATTTCAAAAAGTTCAACTAGATCATCAGATAAACAGAAAGAGTCATTTCAAATAATTTAAATTTTATTAACTCATATACTAAAATTGAGATTGTTATTAATTTATTTCTCAAAAAATATCATTTATTTAAAAAAAAAATCCCAATTAAATATTTTGTTTTCTTCTCAAATTCACAAACAACCTTATACATCAAAATCTATTTTATAATACATACAATTGTAATTTTTATACTATAACACAAATTATTCCAAAGTAATCATTAATAAGACAGCTAATAGTAAGATAAAAAATTTTAATTTCAAACTATTTTGTTAGATTAATTTTTAAAAAATTTATAAACACAGTATAAATAAGTATAGTAAGCATATTTGTGAACACACTTTCATTAATCTGAATTAAATATTGTATGGGATTGTTTAGAGCAGTAGTAATAAAAAATGAAAATAAAAAAACTACATAAATATTGCAAGGATCAAAGAATAAATCTTGGGGAAATTTTTAATGGGTATAATAAAATAATAATACTAACATTTTATGTATGAATTATAAAATATAATTATCATTTCACTTCTTTAACCTTATCCTGCCTGATCCAAGGGAGCTAACTCAACTTTTGGCCTAAGTTCCAGAATAAAATTCACAAGAATCACAGACATTACATAAAAACTACTCTAGATAGGCACAGAATTCTAGAAAGTTGTCTGCAATAGACAAACTTATAATCTAGTATCAATACTGGAATAATCTTAATTTTACACACCTCAATAACTGTGATCAATCTAAACCTTTATCTTTTTCACTAGACTTGATCAATTAGAGAGCTTTATCGTATGCACAGTATGTAAAAAATTGGCAGATGTCTTCTCAAATGCAATGAAACTGGAAGTAACAGGAGACTGTCATTTGCAAATTATTTATTTTTTAGCACTTCTTACTTACAGATTTTTTTCAAAAACTATGATTTATGGCAAAAATCAAAAAATATATTTACAAAAACAAAGGTATTGTTAATGAAAAGAGTATTATCTACAACTCAATATTAATACCACATGCACAATGTTTATTTGCTCTAATTGATTTATTTTTAGTTTAACTTCATTTAAAAACAATAATTCCCATTTCTGCTGTATTAGCAATTCAGCTGAGATACAAGCTTAAAAGTCAATAGTCCAGGAATATGACTTGACCAGATTAAGCCAACCAGAAAACTGATCTTCTAGCATCTGTTCAAAACTCAATCATTTTATAAGGAGAGTGAATTTAAAGTTTATAATGTAGTTATAATAAAAGCTTACGTTCATAGTAGAAATCTCAGGGAGAAAGATTACACCTAGCACCTCTCTCTAGATAATGCACAGTATATTTTTTTATATTGTATTTGATACATAAAAATGTTTACAAATTCAAAAGATTTTAAAAAATAATCTATGATTGCCTTTTATTCTTGGGTGAAATATCTGATGACAAAATCAGTTCAGGTTACTCTTTCTAATCTAAACTTCACTTAATGTGGTATATTGACATGTAAAGAAATTAGTAAATTTTTACACCAATACAGAAAGTAATTCAATTATTGTACCAAAACTTCTTATTGTTTAGTAAGTTTTGATTAAACAAATTATAAACTCATTCAATATTTTGATTAAATATAATTAATTTAAATAAAAACTATTATTATTATTATTTGAATAATTGATATAAACAAAAAATAATAATAATTTTTCACCCAGTTGTTTGTTAAAGAAATCAAGACTTTAGAAATATCATGACAAATCTGTTTGCCAAGATAAATATCCTGGCAGAGATTTGTTGAAATATACGAAGCTCAATATATTTGAAAATGATTTGTATTTTTTTTAAGTATTAAATTACAAAATTTATTTTTCTAAAGCTAAACTTATAATTTTCTTTCCTAATATATAATTAATGTACCTTTACAAATATATTTAATATATTAACTAGTCTTGAGTTTTTATAACTTTATTCATCTTTTACAATCATTAACGTATAGCTTATCTAGATATATCTGATTTAATGTTTTCTTTAATATTTTCCTATAGCATACCCTTTTCATTTCTGTACCATCACCTTTAAATAATCTTTATGAATCTCCTTTTCCTGCCTGAACAGTTTCTCTTATATGTAATATTCTGACATTTCCTCCTCAACAATTTATCTCCTTTTAATACATGTACCATCCAGTTTTCTTTTCCTTTTTTCAATTAATTTGATTAAATTTTGTTTTCTATTTTTCATTTTGATTTTTTACTATTATGCTGCAGCCACCATTTAATCTTTTTCATTTTTTTCCTCCTAGTTCTGAAACTATTCTCTACATTGCTGTTGAAGTTTTATTATGTAGCATCATATTTAATCTTTTTATTAATTTTCAATTAAATTTGTTCAAACTATATTTCTTATTTCTTCTCTTCTCAAATGCTTAACTAATGTAAATATATATATCTATATATATAATCGAGATGGGTTGATAATAATAATAAGCGCAGAGCCCAAATGGTTAGGAGTTGAAAGCTGAAATTTGTTACACAGTTAGGGCACACTAAGAAGGGATTTTTCAAAATTCCTCCCCACAAGGGAGAAGGACAGGATTAAGGCTTAACACTTCCATCAACAATGGAAGTGTTACGTAACAATGGAATTGTTAAGAGAAAGCAAGGTGCAAGACTACTTTTATTTATATAATTCTCTAATTAGTCTGGAAACAGGGGGACCCAATTCTTGCATTCTGTGAAAATGGGTAAGGTTGACTATAATGTAATAATCTTAATCTTCGCTATCGTTACTTTTGCCTGAGCAATGCCGGGCCTACTGCTAGTATATATATAAAATGGTATTGAATTATTATTGGATGTTTTGAAGTTGGGTTCTAACCAAAATTTTATAATAATAGACCTGAAATGTCCAAAAATGTTAGTAAATTCTTGCTGTTTTCAAGATTATTTTTGTGCGAATTTATTTATATTTGCAAGACAGTTCTGGTTTAGTTATAAAAGACCTAAACAAATATTCAAAATAGAAATATGAGAATTTCATTTATTGATAATTATATAATTTAAACTGATCAAATAACAGTATTTGATTAATAAGTTATTTTCAAAAAAAATTAATTTTATTTTTCTTTTATCAAAGAAACTTTAGACAAATATTAAAAACTGTTTATCTGTCTTGCTTTAGTAATTATATCCATGCAACTAATCCAGTTAATAGAGAAATATAAATTCAAAAATAAAATTTTCTATATTTCTTTTTATTCTCTATATATATGTAGTAAAAAGAAATATAGATATATTTTCAATAGATTATATTATATACTGTAATTTAAACAGATTTACATACTTTAAGAGAAATAAATTAGAAAAAACAATTCAAATGAACAAATTTTTTGAAATCATTTAACAAGAAAATATAGAATTTTCTTTTTTAATATCTGAAATTTTGTTTTTTGTTTTTTAAATAATTATCATAAGTTTACATTTGAAAAATCCTAACGTAATAAATGTTTATTAGTAAAAATAAAATTTTTTATTACATGTTTAGATAAGAATGCCTGATGAAAAACTTCAAAACAAATCATTTTTCAACTTCATTCCATTTTTTGTAGGTAACTGCTAAAGCTTGAAATCTTTAAAGCTTGTCCAGAGATTATATATATATTTGACATGCTTGATTGTTCACACAATTTTCTTCAGTGAAAATTATGCTTTAATATAAAATATATGCAGTTTCATCAAATTTTGAAGTATTTTTTTTTTTAATAAAAAAATATCTAGCAACGAGTTGTGTAACTTTCCCGGCTTTATGAGATTTTATTTTAAAAATAACTTTCATATTATTAATCAAACAGTAGACCCCCTATAACACGGGTTCATATAATACAAATTCATATAGCACGGCAAAAAAATTGTGATCGTGTTCGTATAAACACGCTAAAAGAGACTTGTATAATACGGTAAAACGTCATCGCCGACTCGTGTCGTGACAGGATTGGTCGAATCTAAACCAATAGCGGATATTGCACAAACTGTTGAGTTTAAACGAGCACTGGACCTACTAAAAAACATTTATTATTCAACAGCCATAAAAATTATATTTATATTAATGATGTCTCCGAAGTTCAGCAAAGTTTTCACAGAAAAATAACTTATTAGAAAACGTGCCCACCATTTGGTACGCTGCTCTGCGACGAAAACAAGCTTAAGCAATGGTGTGGTCGAACGGTGCACACTCAGTAAGTAATCCTACAATTTTTTGTTTATAGCATAGTTTATATGGATTATTCTCAAAAAATTATACATATTTTGGAAATGTTGAGTCAAATTAGTCTAGAATCAATTAATTTTATGGAAGAAAACCTTTCAAACGGCTGTAGTCCGTAAACTGCACACATGCCGGGCTGTGATTGGCTCATGTATTTAAGTGGCTTGTAATACACAGAAATCATATAAAACAGAACGAATCTACCATGTTATAGGGGGTCTACTGTAAATAAAATTGTATGTGGCACATTCAGTTATGAGATTTTGTTATAAAATCTTTATTAATTTTTAATTATTATAAAATAGCAAGACTTAATTTTGAGAGTAGAGATGAGTTTTATAAAACACTGTAATCCTAACAAGTAAAATCTTCATTAAGTCTGACCCCATGTGAGATGTGACCACCTTCCTCTCTCTCTCTCTCTCTCTCTCCGCCACCCCCTTGACCTCTCACAACTAAAATTTAATAGCATCAATGCCCCTTACATTCAAGCTACTGTGGCAAATTTCACTTATTAATCTTCAGCCCATCCTGAGATATTTAAACAAAATACATGCCAACACACACACACGGAATTTTTTTGGTTTTTTCTTTTACTTTTTTAGGTTCAAAATATTGAGATTTGCAAAAAACTTGAAAAATCAAATTTGACATGATTCCAATACTTTCTCTTATTATGTACACATAACAACTAGGAAAGAAACATTAGCATTACAGTTTGGTATATTTTCCTGACAATCAGTTTCCTGAAAGGAACAAATTCCTGATTTGGATGTCAACAAACCATTTCTCCTTAATAGAGTAAAAGACTCTAATCACAGGTAATCATTGTCAAGTAATGTTAGTAGGATTCTGTAATAATTTTAACTGTATTTGTTAGATTATACTAACTATATAAATTTATCAAATATACAACAGATACAGAACAGACTTCTGGTGCATATAATACAAAAAAATGAACACTGCACAAAATGTTTTCCAACTGCTCCTGAGTTGTTCTTCAGGTGTGACTGAATGGTTACTTGATGAAATGTTATTGAAACTAATGTTTATTTGTAAAAATTTTTAAAACAATTTACCTGAAAAACAACTCTGAAGAAATTGGAAAATGTTTGTGCAATGTTTGTTTTTTGTATTATATGCACCAGAAGTTGATTTTGTGTTCGTACATAAATTCCAGGTGGAGAGGTATCAAATATAGCTCACTTATTGTTTACCTTTTAAAGTGGAACAAATCTTTATTTTGTACAGATAATTTGTACTTTTTGAGATTGTATTATGTTCTTATACAAACAAAATATTTATTAAAACCAGAAGACAACATGTGATACCTGCAGATAAGTTATCAAATAGAAAAACTTAATTTAAAATTAAAAATTGAAATTTAATGTCTATCAAAAGTTACTTGTAATCTGGACTACATGAAATATATTCATTTTCCCAACACCAACTACAAATATGAATTACTAAATTTATTTGTATATCACATTTAAGGCAGTAATTCCAATATAATCCAACCTTTTCTGGTCAAGTCCTACTGACTAACCATTCAATGAACCTGACATTGAATTATTACAAAATCTCAATGATGCAAAGAGTCTCTTATCATATAGTCTCTTATCAATTCCCTATACAAAATGATAGGAAAAATTAAAGAAATTTTGATACCTGATATCTTCATTACAGATAACTGGATCCAAAAATACTGATAAAAAGCTTGTTGCACATCTGCATATCCATCTCTATCTATCAACACCTAATTTGTTCAAATCTAAATGATGTTTAGGGAACAAAAAAAAATCTCCTTAGTATAATAAATACATAGATTTTCTTAAATTTTTATTTTGTAGACTTGGGCTATTTTTCATCTGGAAAAAAACTGACAATCTTGTATTTGGTAGTGAAATTAAAGATTTATAACAATATATAATTTTCATAATAAAATACACTCTGCATGCTATAAAATTTTTCAATAAATTCTCTCTCCAACACTATACTGTCTTATCTTCCTTTTTAAAACTATGGCATTTATCCAATTAATCTACTTTTGACTCACAGATGCACAGTGTTAAAAGACAGCACAAAATTTATACATATTTCTCTAGGATCACTAAATCCATGTGTAAAATAGCATATACTTTTTACATATTTTATTCATTCTCTCAGTAAAAGTTGTAGTGAATAAAGACCACCTGTCACACTGATTGTGTGACTTTAATAAAAACACATTGATATTCAAAGCCAACAATGGCTGTGACTGAACAAATAAATGTCAGATGAATGAGATATAGATAAAGTAATTAGTTCACTAGTAAAGATATGGCTAAACAAATTATTATAAATATAAAAGTTTACCATTATACTAAACATGTATAAAAATTTAGTATTTATTATTAATCCTTATAAACAATTTATTAATTGTTATTTTGTCAACAAGTTTGTTTTAACTTATATTGATAACTTTATTCTCCTTCATGGATTTTTTTTACCTATTGGAATAAATAAATAATCTAATCTAAATTATAGACAATTTATTAGCAATAAAAATCTTCCATACAAAATTATCCCAGCTAGAAAAATGATCTAAAATGTCATATTCAGGAACTGTATTGTCATAAAAAAATATCATATTCAATAAACTGTGAAGAAAACAACAACAACAACAAAAGAAAAAAACAGGCTTATTACTTTCTTATCTATGTAAAATAGCTTTGCTACATCATGTAATTATAATTGTGATGACAGTTCTAATGAAAGCTTAACTAAAGGATATATATATATATATAAACTCAAAACTTTAGCAGCTATCATAAGAAAAGATTATTTTGAGTTACTTTTTATGACTTTTTTGTCATTCTTGAAATTTTTTATCAAATTTTTTATAAACAAGCTTTCATAAATAATTTAATTTTTCCATTTTTTTCAAATAAACTACTACTACTACTACTACTTTAAAATTTAGTCATAGTCATAAAGTTTATTAAATATTTATAAAAATAATTTAGCTTTATTCATTTACTGTAAGTTTCTACAAAATCATTAAAAAATACTTAAGTATGACTATACATTAAAAGACTTCATAAAATCCTATCTTGTTAGTTTTAAAATTAGAATGGTTATTTTATTACTATACAACTCAAATTCTGAACTACAAAGTGATTTTAAATTTTAGCAGTTAGTAACTCACTTATAAAACATTTTGATAAATTGTTGGGTTTAATTAAAACTTAATTATCTTTAAATAATTTATGTGAATAAGATTAAATTGTTTATATAGATATACAAAATTTTAATAAATGTTTTCCTATTAAAATAAATAAGCAATAGATAGAAAAATCCACAATAAGATTTGAATCGTATTGTAGATGACTTTACAACACTTCTGATTTACATATTTGATTTATCTCTACACTCAACCTATACTTATTAATAAATTTATAAGTATACAGAGAACTCAATTTTTCTCTTTCTCTATTTAATTAACAGTATGAAAAAAATGATCTTTTAAATATAACTTATGCTATTAAGTTACGTAATTTTATCATTGATTTACTAACCAACAATAATAATATCTTTTGTTGCTTGTCCCAACAATGCTTCTTTATATTTTCGAAGGCTTTCATCTCCTTCGTCAGCTGCAACAATTTCTTTTAATGATTTCTCAGGTGGAGGTTTATAATTGGTACATTCTTCTTGATCTTCCGGAATTTCTTGCTCTATTGCTGATGTATCATCTGCCATTTTCTATTAAAAATATTATGAACTTAACTTCATTGTTATGTGTGTTAATATATTATATTTACATTTAACAACAAATATAAAATACTGATATATATAATTTTATAAATCTATAATAAAACATAAAACTCAGAATAATTCACAAAATTCTTTAATTAGTGATGATATTTTAAAATTAAGTTTCAATTTATAAGATATAATCCTTTAAATAAAACTAAAATGTCTTGTCAGTTAATTAAACACGAATTGGATTAATGTCAAATGGCAGAAATGTTTGATCCCTGTAATAGCCTAGAGAAATTTTTTTTTATTATAATATAAATTTGAATTCTATCTAAACATCTAAGTCTGAATAAATAAATTTAAATATCTGAACTTATGACACATTCATAACTTTTACATTTATATCAATATCTTAAAACTCAGAGTTAAAATTGTTAATAAAAAAAAGTAGGCCTATATTAAAAATCTAAATCTAATTCACTTAAAAACTATATTAAAATTAACTGCTTTAATTTCTTTGTTTCAATCCCGATGTTTTAAATTATTTCTAGATTTAATTTTATCCAAAAATAAAGTAATTTTACATATTTTATATATAGTCGAAAGCTATTACTACTATAAATTAAACTGAAAACTAATATTTTTTTAAGTAATTCAATCTCCATTTTAAATATTTAAAATTATCAGTATAATTATTAATACAGTAAAACCTGTATAAAACAGAAATGCAGAGTACCAAATTATTTTTCCTGTTTACACAGGTTTCCATTTTATTCAGGTTTTATTGTATTACAGTAGAGCCTCGAAAACTTGGCCTAATGTGGACCGAAGGGTGGCCGAGTTCGTGAAAATGCCGGGTTATCGGGAATGGGGTTAAAAAACGATAAGTATGCGTATTTCCTCAGAAAATATTGTACTGTACTTGTATGTATTGTTTGCTTGAGAATACAACAGAGAATAAACTGCCCAAATACTCTTAAACAAAGGAAAAGTACGTCCTTTATGAAGGCATAGAGCCTTTACTACATGAAAATGAAAATTAATGAATACACTGTGTACAGTAATTTACTTGATAAGACAGACCTCAGAAAAATACTTTATGA